AGGTCGGAATGCATGACCCGAACCTAACTTGTTTATTAAACAGGTCAATTCAAATCAGAATATTTTGGGTCGGGTTCGTTGGTCAGGTCATTTATTAATACCCTGACCCACAACAAGCCCGTGATATTTATAAACACAAAAATAAATATATATGATAATGATTCAAACCACCTCATCATAAAAATTTATTGTCAAATGACACTTTCATGAGAGAAGTCTCTTTTAAATAAAGTGGAGCCTCTCTATCTTTTATTTGCATCATAATGCTAATTAAATAGTAATTAATATTTTAAATATAATATAATATAATATATATTTTATGAACCAAACTGGCCCTCAATGTATTAATGAACTGTGCTGTTGAAGAATTATTTGCGTTGGCTTTTAATGCGCTTAGTTTTCTTGCGTGGAAATTATAGGATCTTAGCTACCAAGTTACTTAGCTACAAAGCTGTACTTAATTGTCCACTTGTCAGCAATAGGAAATTTCTTCTGCAAATTTTCTTTTACAAAAATAACCAAAAAAATATGGGGCCTTTGGTGCTAAGTAATTTACTATTTTGTGGTGCTTGCATGTCAACAAATGTGAAGACATTTGTCAACAACTTCCTTTACAAAATTAACCAAAAATTATTATAATTGTTTTTGAAGAAAGGAAGTCAATCAATATTTAGGAGCAAAAGATGACCTTTCAATATGCCCAATTTGCATGAAGGAAATTTTTGGGAATCATAACCTAATCTTGAGGTGCACAAAATGACTCTTCAATTTTAATAATATAATCATAAATGGCTTTAAATGCATTGGATTCAATATATTTTTTAAGATATTCAAAGTTATGAACCTAGAAAAAAATATAATAAAAGTATTTTAATGAAAAATTTATTAAATTCTTAATTCTTTCCCTTAAATTTTATGTTTAGAATGATAATGAGCTCCTATAGAAAAAAATAATAATAAATAAATCCTTCGAAGAGAGTTAGGGTTTGTTTGAGATAGCTTTCTTATTGCTTTGCTTTTCAGACCGCAACATATTTTCTGTTTGGTCATTGCTTTTTCGCAATAGTAACATCATTCAAAAAAGTTAGTTTCTCCATAACAGCTTTACAACCACCTTTATAAAAAGCTACAACCATCTCAAACGAAACTCTACTGTATTTGTCAATAATATTATCCTTCTCACCTTCACCAAGTTAATAATTTTACCAAGCAATTTTTCATGAATAAAATGATAAAAATATTCAATAGCTTTATCATATTGTGATCAATATTATTTGTGCTAACTTAATAATACTCTAATTGTCATCTTTAAATAGAGTATGTTTGTAATTTTTTTAATCAACATTCTCTATCAAATTAACACTTAGAGTTGACATAGATGAAAGAAAGAAAAGATCTTCATTGGTTTCCAAACTTGAAAGACAAATCAATATTAAAAAAGAAATTAATACTTTAATGTTCTCTTACTTATATCCATATATAGTTTTTTTGGTGCTTGCGTAGGGTAAAATAAATCTTGCCTTGACTGATGTTGAAATTTTAGTAAATTTTTTTCATATCCAAATTGACAAGAAAACTCCAGTGTTAGTGTTATTCATCTGCAATCTACGAGAATGACAATGATACCTCCATATTCAACATTCAATTCAATATGTTTTGATCTGATTCGAAAGAGGTAATTGCTTAATTATTTGTATTTCGAACCCTTATGCATATGCTTGGGAATGTTTGGTATCAAGAGGAAGTCTACTTGTGTTATGGACTGGGTCCTAGAGGTCAGTTTACATGTTTGTGAAATTTGAATTTTCTCCTTAAGGCGTCACAGCAGCGCTGCAGCACAGGATTCTTGGAAAAATCTACATTTAATTGGACGTGCAACAGGTGCAGCGGAGCTACAGGTTTTTGAAGTGCTATGTAGCCAGTGCCAAATCAAAATTGTCTATTTTAAAATATCTCAAACATTCATTCAATTCTTTTTAAGCAAGCCAACTGACATAGAGAGGTATTCAAGAGAAAGGAGAATTTGTTGACTCACTTCTAAAAGATATATGTATCACGGTAGGTCACGGTATGCCTATCTCAATTTTGAAAAATATGGAGATTTCTCAAACTTTTTGATTAAATTTATATTTTAATCATAAATAAATAGGGATAACTTTACAATGATAAAACTTTATTTCTATAGTATTTTGTAAGTATAGAGATTACGATTTTGAACACTTTGAATATTTTCTGAAAAATTTTATGCTAAGTATTCTAAAATGTGCACCTTTTCAATTGAACATAAAATAATGCTGAACCTAGAAAATAGTGTTGTAGAACGATTAAAGTCTTGAAACAATATTTTGCACGATCTGTGATAATTTGACGAAACTCTAAAATAGTATATTTTTGCTTGGTAGTGTGTTAAGTTGCCTACCATTATAGTAAATTTGAAGATTTTGCATTGAGATCCTTTATGCTTTAAATTTTATACTGCAATGAATTATGTGTTATATCTATTAATTTATATGACTTTTGATGTGAAAAATGTCTATAGAAGATATAAGGGGTTAGAATATTTTAGACTCTATTTGATGCACAAAATTTGAAATTATTTGAAATTCTGTCTGCTGGGAGTCATAAAGGCTAGAATTTTGGATTTTGTCTAAAAGAGGGGGAAATCTATCTGTTGTGAGTTATAAAGGGTCATAATCTTTAGATTCTGTTCGGGACAAGATAAATTTGTTAGATTATATTATGTGAAATAAATGTCATATAAAATTTCTATTTATTCAATTTCGCAGTATTATTTTTTAAATCTTTGGATAACTGCTATGTTATTATGATTTGCTCAGCATAGTGAATTGCTATATTATATTTGATAATTTTGAAAAATACTTAATAATAGAAATATTTATAATTTTAGATCGATATTTATGACCTGTTGATCTACTTTAGCTCACTAATGTTTTGCATTCTATTTTCATGATATAGGAAAGGAAAATAGCCCATTGAATAACAATTTAAGGAATATGATTTGAGCATGTAGGTACTTTTTCTTTGATTTTTACATAGTGATGACTAGTTTTTATTATTTTATTATGTAGCTTTGGTTTATTGTAATGCACCATAACTATATATGCATATTTTATAATAAATGAAAAGCAAATCTTTTAGATGAGTTTATTTTCATTACTAGATGTTAGTAGCAGTTATGTGCTTATTATTATTGTTTTACTTAATTCAAAAGAAGATTTTTAAAAAAATTCTAAAACTTAGAGCTTGGGATTCACCTATTACAACTCTACACGATAAAACCTGTTCAATTTGTGGGTCTTATCAGGTTGGGTTGTGCAATGACAAAGTTCACCCATGTTTTTATCTAAATCAAATAGAGTTTACTAAAGTATAGAAATCTCTTATTTATCATTGCCATTTATGATCATATCATCCATGTAGAGGAGAATAACCTCATGCACAATGTCAAACTTTTGATGAATAAGTTTGTATTTGAATTTGAGGGTAATTAGCTATAAAATTGAAGGCAATAAATGATCTTACCTACGATGCACAATGATTTAGAAGGGTTCTTACAAGCAAGAAAGCTAGGATCGCCGCATTTAAAGATGGGCGCCATCAAAATATCCACGCAAAAATCGAAAGAAAACCAAATAGAAAAAGAAGGGAACCATACAACAGTAAGACGGAAGAAAAGCCAAACAAAACCACAAGAAAACTCACGAAAAATGCACGGAAACAATGGCCCAGGAGAAGCCCTAGCCAGAACATGCGAGAAGGAGACGAGAAGTAAAAACGAGTTCTACCAGAATTTAAAAAATCACATCCCTTTAGTTGATAAATATTTGAGTTTTAAGGTTCTTGAGATTCCATCCTTTCTTTCTTTCATCATAGCCAATGAAAATATATTTCTTAGCTTTGGCTCCCAACTTACTTCTTTGAGAGGACAAATGAATATAACATGCAAAACTTTAAAGTGATTCACGCCATGGGACAACTTATTTTTCATGTTATATATGTTCACTTTGATCATTATGAATATTGATGCAATATTTATAGACTTCTATAATCAAATTCAGAATCATTTGAAGTCCGATTTCAACAAGTTTATAGTCAAATTAAGCATCTTGATGAAACAGATTCAACCACACCAAAGCTAATCCGATTTGAGTCCAACTAAGCCCAAGCCGAACACTTAAAAAGATAGTTAGAAGCTTTGGGGATTTAATTAAGTGACCTAATTGTCATCAAATATGACATGGTCATAATCAAATCGGGCAGCTCGACAAGATGAATATGATCAATCCCAAAATCACTTGATTTTGAGATCATTAAAACAATTAAATGTTGAATGAATAGCATATGATTAAATGATCTGATATAAGCCGTCCGATAGAGTATGATGAATTTTTGGCTAAATTTATTTTTCATATGAAGGCGACTTAGACTTAAACTTGGAGAGAGCTTGGAGATCCCAGAAAATCTAGAGTTCTACTTGACATTCAGCATCGATGACTGCCGCAAGCCTTCGCCATTGCCTGGCTAATATCATCCGATCATCATCACTAGAGTATCTCGCCTTATAGTCATAATATATTCAACTTAATTCGACCATCGCCACTCTATTATTGTTGTCCAACCAACATCACCCAACTAACACCATCAAACTGCTGCATCTCGATTATTCTCCTCATTATAAAATTATAAACTTTTTCTATAATTTCACCTATTTATAATTGAATTTAATTTTTTAATTCTAAAATAATCGTAAAATCAAAATCGGGCCGAACCGCTTCCGGTTTGTACTCCTCCAAGACCCGATAATCCATTTCGCTACTATTTTGTTAATCGTTTGCGGTCCTGAAAATTTGGAGGGTCGCATTCGAACCCGACCCGTTATGGTCTGGTCCGACCGTCCGACAGAAAGAAACGGCACGTAGACGGCGCTTCAATTCTTAACGCCGTCACGCCTCCTATATACTCGAGTCCATGGTGAGGAGGCTCATTCAAATCGAAGTCTAGAGAATATTCTAGAGAGAGAAATCGAGGAGAGGATCATCGGAGAGTTGTTAGGGTTCAGGCGATGGCGGAGCGGTCGGAGGAAACGTTGTTGGAAAAGATAGCAGAGAAGATCCACGCCGTTCATGATTCATCATCGTCGGATTCCGACGATGAGAAGCCTAAGTTATCGGATTCGTCGCTCAAGCCCAAGATCTACCGCCTCTTCGGCAGGGAGAAGCCAGTACACCAGGTCCTCGGTGGTGGAAAGCGTATGAATCTCTGATCATCCTATTTTTTTGACTCACTTATTTCTTATGGTTTATGGATTTATGGTTTTTTGTTTTTCTGAAATATTAAGAAGTAGATCGGATGCGATCGGAGAGGTTAGGGTGTGTATCTAGCTTTGTTATTTTGAAGCTTTTTGGGAACTGAGATCCGTGGATGCTTTTTTAGTGGTTGGTTGCTTGTTTAATGGTTTATTTAATTGCTTGGATCGTGTAAAGTAGGGATTCTTTGTACTTATGGGAGCTCATAGGGTTTTATTTGCTTTTTGAAATATGCTAAAGAAGTTCACATCATACCATTCTCGGTATAAAGGCTTGTTGTTGTGGTCTACTTCCACCGATCTGTTGATTATCTGTTATCATTTGCTTCCTTGGGGAATGGTTCTGCCATTTATTTAATATGATGTATCAAAGAGGTACTTTCTTTTTTTCTTCTCCCGTAAGAACAAATCATGTCAAATTATGAAGACGACTTTTTTTGACGCGAAGGCCTGATGTAAGAAATCGAGGATCGGTAGATCATATTCTCTCTCTTGATTGAACATCGAAATAATCTCAATAAAAGGTCTCAGCTTTTGTTCTTGAGATCCTTGTCCTTTTCCTTTCTTTTATTGTGATCTGCTGTCAATGAGCAGGAACTCCTATATAACTTCTGCTTTGCCATTTGGTTTGATTCTGAAATATTTGAGTCTATCTGTGCTCTTTAGCTGTCTATAATCACATTGCAGGTTACTATAACCTATTAATGTGATTCATCTACGGTACGGGTACTCTTGAATTTCTTTAAATTTTCTCTTCATCTGATAGAAATCTCTGTTTGCAAATTTTGAACAGCTGCGGATTTGTTTCTATGGAGGGATAAGAAGGCCTCAGCTGCAGTGTTAGGTGGGGCTACTGCTATATGGGTTCTATTTGAGTTGATGGAATACCATCTGCTCACTCTGGTCTGCCATAGTCTCATACTTTCTTTGGCTGTCCTGTTTCTCTGGTCTAATGCAACCACGTTTATCAACAAGTAATTCATGCTATGCCTAGTAATTCCTTGATTCTTGTTAAGTTACTTTTTAAGCTGAGCTCAATTTAAACTAGTTATCAAATTTTCTTTTAGATCGCCACCACACATTCCACAGGTGATCATTCCCGAAGATCTGGCTGTGAACATCGCACTTTCTCTAAGGTTTGAGATCAACCGTTCAATTTCTGCTTTGAGGGACATTGCCTCAGGACGTGATTTGAAGGCATTTCTTGCTGTATGTTCATGCTCAAAATGTCTTTTTTTTAGGGGGATTTACATACATACCAAATTTTTTTATGTATTTAATATCTAAAACCTAAACTTTTATATTTTTTGCATATAACAATTCTATATCTAAATCACATCAAAATATATGCATGGGAAGATGCGTTTTAGTTTAAATAAGTTAATATTAGTATTTTTTTTTGCATGATTTAAAGATTTGAGTGTTACTATAAAAAATATAAAAAAATGTGTCTGCTATATAAATACATAAGAATTTTATGAAGATTTTTATTTAAGAAGGAGCATGATGTTTAATTAAAATCAGAAATAGGAACATAGTATTAAATAAAGTTTAAAAAGAAGCAAACTAGCTAAATAGAATGGCACATTCCATTGAATGCACCAAACTGTTTGAAGCATTTAGAATGCACCAAACTGGTTGACACATTACTACAGTACTTTTAAAATTTAATTCATCTGACTGGGCTGAATGCACAAGATGATTTGGGGCATTCTTTAGAATGTACCAAATCATTTACTGCATTATGATTTGGTTTTGTTTGGCTAGTTTGCTTCTTTTAAATTTTTTAAACACATGATCCTATTGCTAATATAAATGAAATATTATGCTCCTATTTACAATATTCCGATTTTATGGCGTGGTTATTTAAATCCCCAAACTTATTTTATGTGGAAATTATGTATTAATTTTGGTGGTGGTACATTACAATTACCAGCACTTCTAATCCTTCCTATTCAGGTAATCGCTGGACTTTGGGGTTTGTCTCAATTCTCGGAAGCTGCCTCTACACTTCCTATCCTGTTTTACCCTCGTAAGCTTCTGATGCCATTATATTTTCGAACTATTCAGCAATGCCTACTTCAATTTCATATTGCGTGTATTTTGGAAATGCAGTGTTGTCTTCTGCATACGGTGCCTATTCTGTATGAGAAATATGAGGACAAAATCGACTCCTTGCGAGAAAGCATTGCAGAAATCAAGAAACAGTTGCAGTATCGATGCTAAGGTCTTAAGTAAAGTGCCTAAGGGCCCGTTGAAGGATAAGAAGCCTTAGAAAAGGCCATGAATGGCTCATTGATGTGCTGTGTATCTCTTATGTTGAAGGTTTACTAAGACTGCATTATTCGTATTTATTAGCAGCATTTGCTCGCGCTCTTTCCCCACTTTTTTGTTTTTTTTTTTGGTTTTTGGCCTTGTGTTAAAATATTTAGTGTTTAGTTGGAGTTGTGAATGATTTATTATACGATCATCACTGTGGATGTGTTGTTGTTCTATCATTTGCTGTTGCTTTTCTGCTATTGGTGACTTTGATCTTCCAAGTTCTATATGTATTAACTTTCTTTTCTGGATTAACCATTATGTGAAGCTCCCTGAGTATTATGTGAAGGTATAAGTGAACAGATGAAGAACTACTGTGAATTTGTCTGTGAGCATCTTGATTTTCTAGATGTCTTTTTTTTTTTTCAATTCTTTTCTTTAACGTGATAGAGAATACATAATTTCCTTATCTAGAAATATTTGTGTCATTATATCATATTTTTACTCAACCTAGTGATCTATTATTATTTTTATTGGAAGACATTTGTGAATTTATTGAATTTATTTTAAGAATATAAAAATTAAATTTAATAATTTTTTGTTAAATGTGCTGTATAGTTGTTATTTGTGCTACGGTTCAGCGACTCTGAGGAATAATTATTAATGTGGCATCTCGATTCATTTGAAAGGACGAATTCGTGGCAGATGTCGCTTCGGGTGATCTGGTGGTGTCTGGATTTTTTGGGTGTCATACACCACATGAATTATTCTCCTCTTTGAGGTCTCAAAACTTGCAAATAGCTTTTTAATTGTTTTTAAAGCAACTTTTTATTCAAAATTTTTAAATTTTGTATTAGAAAAATTTTTAAAATAGTAAGAGTTGTCTGCAACGCGAAGGCTTAGTGTCACCATCGGAATAAAATTAGTTTTTTGGGCTTTGGTACTTTTTTGAATTATTGAGGAGGTGTCCTCATTTTAGCTAGGCAAGCAATTGTTTTTCTCATATGTTATTAAGAGCTTTATATGATCTTTGTTGAAGTATATTATATAATCTATAGTTTATTTTAATCCTTATTTTTAATGAAATAGAAAAATAAGGATTTATTTAAAAGTTTCCTCACTCAAATTGGAATTTTGTTTTAATAGGTATTTATTAGAGGATTTTATTTATATGTTGAGTAGTTTAATTATTTATATTGTTTATATTCATCTTAAAAGTATATTAAGAATTTGAGTTTTTTTTTAATTAAATTTAAATAGAATATTCATGCTCAATCATTGTGCATGACAATTACAGTGATGACACATGGCTTGCATTATCATGGAGATGGGGACAATCATGTTGTTTCTAATGGTTCATTTTTGCCAAATATATAAATTCCATCATTAACTTTAATTTGCCAGTTTGTTCTTGTCCTATGGGATTTGTTTGAAATCAAGGTTGAAATTAGGATGTGGTGCGTAACCCTTTTAAAATTTTAAACTATTTTTATAAAAATATTAATAGCATTTTTAAAATAAATAATTGTATTTTTTTTTTGCCCTATAAGTCATATTACTATCAACTTTTTTTTTTTTAAAAAGATTTGAATGCCTATGCATTTTAAGGCTTTGTTTGGAAGAGTAAAGGTCTATTTTCGAAAAAAAATATTTTGTGCGGATTCGGACGGCGTTCGGAGACCAATCAGAACGAGCCAATTCATTTTTTTTTGTTCGATACGGGTGCTCGATATGTTATGCACCAGATGATGTTGCGCATTCTGATTGATCTCCGGACCGTCTGGTATTTGCACATAATAGTTTTTCCTATCTCAGAACAGCACCAGACATCTCTTACTCTTTTAGAATAAACTAAATTGCATGTAAAATTCATTTAAATAGAGTGGTACAGCTACATGCTTACATGGTGTGACAATTCTATTGATGGGGCATTGTTGGTCTGAGTGACCCATTTGGATTTTTTGATGAAATTCATGAGAGCCCTCTGACGAGCAAGAATAATGGATGAATAGTCATTGATTTTCAGTTCGCAATAGAATCACAGTATATAAGGGCTTCAGAAAATAAAATAAAATAAAATTTGAGAGCATCAATTTCAGATATTCTACTTGTCATTTATTTATTTATTTATTTTGAGAACGGAGTATCCACTCGTTGCTACTCCCGTAAAGGAGCTTGGCGGTGTGACTAATCCTTGACTGACCTAAAAAAACACCCAACTTCTCCTTGCCCGCACTTCATGGGCCCCACTTAAAAGGCGCTGCCGTTCGAGGGGAGTCGAACGCGGGTTGGGGTACCCAACCGCGCTTGCCCACCAACCGAGCTAAACATAGGTGGGTTCTACTTGTTTTGACAAAGCAACAAAAAAAAGGACCATCATGTTGCACATTCCAAACACTAGTGAAGCTTTATCAATGAGGCAATGAAGTATCTTTCTTAATAGGGGTGTTAATATTTGACATGACACGAAAACTCGACTCGGACCCGACCCAAAAAATTCGGGTTGGACCTGACCCGATTTCAAAACGGGTCGGGTTCGGTTCGGATTCGACTCCGTTGTTGAAAAAAATGGTGTCGGAGTTCTTCCAGGACAACCCGAAAATCCGTTTAATTTAAAAATTTGGATTTCCATCCCGCTAGCCCGCCCGCGCTGCCCCTGCCTGCGCTGCTGCCCCGCGGGCCCCGGCCCTGCCCAGCTCCCCGCGCCCGCTGCGTCGCTACCGTGCCTCGCTGTGCCCGCTACCCGCATTGCCCCCACCGAGCAAGCCCTGGCGTGTCGCATCCTCCCCGTCTCCCGCCGGTTCCCCTGCCGCCGTCTTCTGACGTTTCGATGCCGACATAAAACCAAATCACGGGTCGGTTCGGCGTCAACCGACTATCCCGACGGGATCGGGCTCTGGGTCAGATCTTTTCAAACCCGTCTTTACATATCTTGCTCGGGTTAGGGTTCACCCGTTTGACCCCGGGTTGTTTCGGGTAACACCTTGCAAACCCGATTTTGACAACCCCTAGTCTCAACATGTACTCCAAACTCTGAGCAGAAATTAGAAGGGCGTTTCACAAAATTTTAAATATTTGGTATTTATATAAGAATATACAAGTTATTAGAAACATAAGCTGAAAGCTCTGCCAGCAAGATCTGAAGCATTCATCGGTCCTATCCGAACAAAAAATTCATAATTTTTGGCAAAGAAGGCTTATGGCAAACTTGTAGTGCATCGCCATGACATTCTGCATCCATATCTATGCTACCATTGATACATCCTCGAAAAATTATCTTGATCGGGCACGAATCTCGAGGAAAAATTAAGTTGGAAACTTCCGAAATTAAAATTGGGACCATCCAAACTTTGATTTTAGAAAACTTATAGTCAAACTGAACGTCTCAAAAATACGAAGCCAACGACA